AGCACCATTTGCTGAAGATGCTGTCTTTCCTCCAGTTAATGTTCTTGGCCCCTTTGTCAAATATCAGGTGGCTAAAATTGCAATTACTCATATTTGGGTGTTCGATTTTGTTCCATTGGTCTATGGGTCTGTTTTTATGCCAGTACCATATTGTTTTTATGACTATAGCTCTGTAGTAGAGCTTAAAATCTGGTATAGTAATCCCCCCAGCATTGCTCTTAGTTCTCAGGGTTGTTTTAGCTATCCGGGGTCTCTTGTGCTTCCATATGAAATTTCAGAATTTTTTTTTCAATTCTGTGAAAAATGTCATGGGGATTTAACAATATTAACTTATTTTTTAAAGACTATTACCCTAGAGCCTGATTTCATTTCAATTATATTTCATAGTCTTTGTAGACCATAGTCTTACTATTGTAGACCCAGAGTCTATGCTAATACTGACAAATAAATGACTGGATGAGCATTTCATGTGCAGAGGAGCTACATGGACTGACCATTTCCACATGAATGCTGGAGCTGTGGGGAGTGGAGACTCTGTAATAGCCAAATCCAGGCTCTGTCATTGGAATATGCTGGGTAGCTGGTGCTACCTAAGGAGAATGCATTGTTTATTCACTGTTATTCATAGCAATGACTACAAGACACTTTTGTCTTTTGTGGTTGAGCAGAGTTTTGAGAAGAAGGCTAGAACTTTAAATTTTCTTATTTATTTATTTATAATGTGTATGAGTGTTCTCCTTGACTTCATGTATGAGCATCCGTGTCCTGCAATGCCTGTGGCAGCCAGAAGACCTTATCAGATCCCCTAGGACTGGAGTTATGGACAGTTCTTAGTCATCATGTTGGTGCTCAGAATCGAACCCAGGTCCTCTGCAAGAGTAGTCAGTGTTCTTAACCACTGAGCAATCTCTCTAGCCCAGAAGGCTAGAACTTTAAAGACGCCTGCCCTCAATTTTAAAACAACAGAACAAGTTGATGACATGTGTTTATAGAATGGTATTAGTATACCTAATATATATATATATATCTTATTAACAACTTTATTAATATTTGATTTGTAGATCTGAGGATATAGTCAGATGGTTTAATGAGATTTTAAAGTAATTATTTCCTAAAGGTTTGTTGTTTACATTCTATCAGGAAAAAAAAAATATTGGCAATATACATACCCTAAACATCTTGTCAAAATATAGTCAATTTCTGCTGAGATACACTACCTCTCACTTTTTTCAGTATAAAGCCAGGACAGTCAACAGACTAACAGCCTGGTTGGCTCTTTGGATTGGCAGATCACAGTGGATGAGAAGGACATTCACGCCTTAAACGTGCGGCATTACCTAGAGCACGTGGGAGTGGTCAGCCAAGAGCCGGTTTTATTCGGCACCACCATCAGTAACAATATTAAGTTTGGACGAGACGGTGTGACTGACGAAGAGGTGGAGAAGGCAGCAAAGGAAGCAAACGCTTACGACTTCGTAATGGCCTTTCCTAATGTGAGTATGAGAGCTGCGGTTTCCGGCTTCTGCCCGGAGCACCACAGTACTCCAAGATAGGGCAGGGGGACAGCGGTTCAAGCAGGGCCATCTATAGAGGGGTGAAAACGGTAACCACCGAGAAATACAACATCTAAATGCCGATTTAAAAGTCGTATGCTAAACTCTAACAAGGAAATCTGAGAAAATCACACAAGTTGAAAAATGGTGTCTGTGAAAATGTTGATTTGTGGGGCCATCTTGTGGCTGAGCGTGGAAATGACACACACAGTATCAGGTTCAGTAACCACACAGGAAAATTGTCCATTTCTTTTCTATTATTTAATAAACATATAATTAGAAGAAGCATTTCATTACAACAGCACTGACATAGTCAATAAAAATTTCCAGAGCTAAGATGCATCTCTTTCAAAATTGGCTGTAAATTTTTAGGTTTACAGTGGAATTAATACAGTTATACAATATTCTACGCAATATAAACCCTATGAGACATAAAATTGAATGAGATTTTAACCTTTAAAAAAGATCTCCATTTCATTGTTAAAATATACTGTTTCATACAGAAAAGCTCATTTTTAATGCAACTAACACTTAGATGTTTGCACATGCGTCTCTAATCTCTATATATCTGATTATTACTAGTCACAGTTGGTTACTTTCTGAGATCCTTGGCACCTGAGCATGGATATAAAGTCACCAGGTAGATTTCAGTGGTAATGTATTTCATACCTAGTAATTAACATGAAGCAATTTTTTTAACTTTCACAAAAACTTTATTGAGAATTTCATACACGCATATAAGGTGTTTTGATCAAATCCATGCCCAGTCCCTCCCCTCCAACATTCCCCCCTCTGAAGAGTTAACCCTAAAATCTTTTAGGGATTAGCTAAGAACTCCCATATACTTTTGACATTTTTGGCCTTTGGAACAGAGTATGTATCTAACAGGCCCAAGGACATTTTAACTTTTAGCCAAGAAACTGGCTACTTTTCTTTGGGGTCTTTTTACCCTAACTGCTTAGCCAGTTTCTACCTCGTGTTCTTATCACACCATCCTCTGAAGGAGTTACCCAAATTGGCAATAGGGAATAGGGACACAGACCGCTCTGGCTTCTTCCATGCTGAACAGGGACTAAAGGTGAGGCAATTGGAGTACCACTTCAGTGGTTCATCAAATTTTTATGCTTCTTCCTTGAATATAACTCATTTTTTAAATTTATTGATTTTTTTTGTGTGTGTTTCATACAGAACATTCCAAACAATCTTATTAATCTATATACCCACATCCCATGTGACATCCTCCCATGCCCCCCTTGATGGAACCCATATACTCTGTCATCCCTGTTACTGTCCACTGTGTTGTCAGTGCCCCCAGCTGTTCCCCAGTGTTTATCCATCTGCTGAGTCTAGTCAGCCTATCTAGAGTTCCTTGTTTGGGGAAGATCAGCTCTTCCTCATCTAGCAGCAAGCTGTTGCCAATATTCCTTTAGATAAGACTGGGGTCTACTGTTCATTTTCCCAGTTATATTCTGGGTTACTGTCTGGGAGTCTCTTGGGCCACCCTGGCCAACAGCTCAAAACAAGGTATCTCCTATTTAGCATTGTTGCTTGTTATGTAGCCTTTAGCTATACATATGGACTCTTAAAAAATTATATTGGCCCCTTTAATTTTTGGTTATACCTTCCTTTTGGGTGTTTAAGATCATGCAGTTGGCCCAAATAAATTTATTTTTACTCTTAAGGTCATTTGAGGCTCTGCTCCTCAGGGGTCACATGGGCTTAGGAGGAGCCTGTGGCTCCTTTCTTTTACCAGTTCTATCTATGTGAAGGTAAGTCAAAGGTTAACCATGGATGGCTTCACTTGGAAGCATGAAGGAAATGATTCCTCTGTGTTGACCTTCCTCTTTTAGACTAGACATTGGTTCCAGTCCATCTGGTGGGGTCTCCATGGCCTCCTTGATCAAGAGTACATGTAACTCACAACAGTTACAGAACATTTTGAGAGATGCTCCACAGTCCCCTGGAACTCAGTCGACCTTGGAGGACAAGGAGCAAAAACTGTCCTTTAAGTCCCTCTGACTAAATTAGTATAGGCCTCAAAGTATGGCTGTTAAACATCCAAGAAGGTTAGTTCCACCTGTCTGGTACTTTTAATTACCTTGTGCTATGTAGATAAAGCTTGGGCAAAGACCAAAAGTTCTCAGATAAACCTTGACTAGACATATATTATGTTCCCTGAGCTAGTTGTATGTTTTTATCCATATCTCCATTATTAACACCTGTTTCATACTGTTCTTCACTTTCAGATTCTTTCTTTTCCTTTAACTCCCTGGTTCCTTTCCATTATCCTGGTTCCTATAGTTATGACTGGATATATATGTACTTAAAGATTTGGTGCTATGATCCACATATGAGAGAGAACATACGTTGGGTTTTTTTTTTTTTTTTTGGTTTTTTTTTTCTGAGTCTGTGTTACTTCACTTAGTATAACAGTTTTTAGTTCCATCCATTTGCTTGCAAACTTCATGATTTCATCTTTCCTTACTGCTGAGTAAAACTATCTTATAAATGAACCACATTTTCATTATCCACTCATCAGTTGAGGGACACTTAGATTGCTTCCATCTCTTAGCTATTGTGAAAAGAGCAGCAACAAACATAGATGTAGAAGTGTCTCTGAAATAGGAGGAGTCCCTTGGATATATGCCAAGGAGTGGTATAACCAGGTTAAATGGTAGGTTCATTTTTAGATTTTATAAAAGATTTCCACACTGCTTTCCATAGGGGTTGAACCAGTTTGCAGCCCCACCAGCAGTGGATGAGTGTTCCCCTTTACCCACATCCTCTCTAGCATTTGGTATCATTTGTTCTCTTGATCTTAGCCAGTCTGACTGGGGTGAGATGAAATCTTAAAGTGGTTTCAATTTGCAGTTCCCTAATTATTAGTGATGTTGAACATATTTTAAGATGTTTCATAGCCATCTTTACTTCTTCTTTTGAGAACTCTCTGTTCAGCTCCTTAGCCCATCTTTTATAAACCTCTATGTTCCTGGTGAAGATTTTCTCCCACTCCGTGTGTTTTCTCTTCATTTCCTTGGTTGCTTCTTTTGATGTACAGATTTTTTTTAGTTTAATGAGGTTTCATTTGCTGATTCTTGACCTTGTTTCCTGGGGCAGTTGATGTCCAGTTTAGAAAATCCTTTCCTACGCCTATACCTTGTAGGTTTTTCCCAATGTTTTCTTCTAATAGTTTCAGAGTTTCAGGCTTCACATAAGGTCTTTGATCCATTTGGAGTTGACTTTTGTACAAGGTGAAAAATCAGCATTTAGTTTCATTCTTCTGTAGGTAGAAACCCAGTTTTGCCACCACCATTTGCTGAACTTTGCTCCAGTGAATGTTCTTGGCCCCTTTGTCAAATATCAGGTGGCTAAAATTGCATGTATTCATATTTGGGTCTTCAATTTTGTTCCATTGACCTATGAGTCTATTTTTGTGCCAGTACCATGTTGTTTTTATGACTATAGCTCTATAATGCAGTTTAAAATCTTGTATAGTAATCCCCCGAGCATTGCTCTTAGTGCTCAGGGTTGCTTTGGCTATCCGGGGTCTCTTGCGCTTCCATATGAATCTTAGGATAGTTTTTTCCAATTCTGTGAAAAACGTCATGGGGATTTTGATTGGCATTGCATTGAATCTATAAATGACTTTTGGTAGGATGGTCATTTTCACAATATTAATTCTTCCAATCCTTGAGCATGGGAGGTCCTTCCATCTTCTGAGGTCTTCCTCAATCTCTTTCTTTAAAGACTTAAAATTTATGTATGCGTGTATTGCCTGCATGTAGGTAAGTGCACCTGTGTCATGCAATGCCCACAGAGGACAGAAAAGGCTGTCCGATCCCTGGGAACTGGAATTACGGACAGTTGCTAGCTGCCATATGGGTGCTGGGATTCAAACCTGCATCTTCTGCAAGAACAACCAGTCTTCTTAACCACTGAACCATCTCTCCAGTCCCGTCCCTCCATCTTCTGATGTCTTCCTCAATCTCTTTCTATAAAGATTTAAAATTTTCATTGTAGAGGTTTTAATGTCTTTGGTCAGGTTTATTCTGAGATTTTTTTTTTGAGGCTATTGTGAATGGGGGGGTTTCCATGT